CTAGTTCCTCGTTTTGCCACTGGTCTCTGAGAGATGTGTGAGTGTATTTACGTTTTTAGCTGCAGTTCTTATTCTAAGGTGGAAGGGCTTTCTTAACCACCACGCCTTCCCTCCCAGAGTAATTATAAATCCTCTGTCCAAGGGAGCCTCTATTTTCTGGTTTCTCTCTCCCACTTCCTCCCCTTTTCTTTCCAGTTGTTTGGAAAGCAACATTTCCCTAATCGCCCCCACCCCCACCCCTGCCAGCTAATTTCGCCTCTGGTCCCTTCTCCCAGGCTTGCCTTTTCTCTCTCTCTCCAGCAGCATCCAAAGCCAATGAATTATTAGCCTCTGAGGTGGGGCCCAGACCACTGGGAATCCGGGGTGCCACAGACAAACAAATAAGCTTATTAGAGGAATCAGTCCCAGAGGCTCTTTCAGAAACAGTACAAAAGGACAGGGAAACAAAGTGCGTGTTGGCCAGCTCAGGAGGTTCAGGGCTCCAAGGGGGCTGGCGGCGCCCGCCACTGGTGTTGCAGACTCCTCGCCCCGATTTCCTGCCCTTGTGGAAGAGAACTGGAATCGGTAGTGTTCCAGGCCATTTTTTTTTTTTCTTCCCATGACAGAAAGACCTCTCAGAAAGACATTTGCGGATTGCTGTTCTTGCTTCCCTTGAAGGGCCTACATCTCTTTTGTAGAGTAGAACAGTCCTCTCTCTGTGTGTTGCTCTAATCTGAGCCTCGATGTGGAGCTGAAGTCTTGCACAGGCAGTGACAAGTTGTGGTCGTGGACGGCAGTCTCTTGTCACCTGATTTTACCCTCAAAGAACCAGAATCTGGGGAGAGGCCAAAGCCAATGGCCAAGCCAAAGACATCTAGCCGTGTCTTGCGCAGTGTTCTCACATCTGTTGTCTTATTCGAGCCTCACAACCACCTGGTGGGCCAGACCGGGCAAGCCTCCACTCCACAGCCGAAGCCAGAGAAGCCCAGAGTAAGTGAGTCACCAAAGGTCACAAAATCAGCCTTAGAATACAGGTCTCCTTTGGGTCTGGGGCCAGGATTGACTCCATCGAGACCACCACAGCCTATGTTAAACCCGGGGGCTGATGCACCATGTCTGGAATATCCACGAAGAAAGGGAAAAAACGCACACACAGGATTGACTTAAAATACGCAACATACAGTTTAAGCAGTATCAGACCATGCTCATCAGAGGGTTTCTGCCAGAATGCCTTCTCAATGCTCTTCCTGGACACCTGAAATTGGGCGCCTCCTCCCCGTTTCCAGCCTTCATTGCCACACAGGCCTGGAGACTAAACAGTTGCTTTCTTAGCTCTGAACTTTGGGTGCAAGATAAGGAATGGGAGGAGAACAGTGCTGCCTTTCATGACTTTCTGCAAATACGGCACGCAAATATGAGAGGAGGAAGTTTTTGATCATTTCTAAGTCATGGTGACATGGCTGACACATGGCACCACTTTTCGGAAGCTGCCCGACCCCACACCCCCACTAGAAAGAGATACTGAAAATGACATGCTTGTTCCTTTTTGTTTTCCAAACTGCTGCTACAGTCCATTAGGAAGTTGGAAAAATCTATACAGCAGGCTGCGATCAGAATTTTCAAAAAAAAAGTAGTACAATGAGATAGTACCAGAAACAACTTGCAAGTAGTACACTTGAGGTTTATTTTGGACATAACATTTCGTTTGTCACATGTATGCATCTGTGTGCTGGATTGTGGTATTTTGTACTTCTTATTATATGTTAGAGCAAAGCCTTTGAAAGCCACTGATCTAGAAGATCATACAATCTGAGATGCAGGCTATATCCTAAGACCCTTCATTGGCTATGTTATTCCAACAATATGTTTCCTCTTTTTAGTGCTTCTCTAGGAAGAAAGACTGACTTATATAGCCCACACAGGGTCACTGAGAACTCTTTTGTACAGAAAGCTGCGTTTGGCAAAGAAGGGCACATGTTTATTAATAGAATACAGCAGTTTTGTAGCCAGGTGTTTTGAAGAAATATTTTCATTGTATAGAGCCCAGTGTTAAATCCAAAAGCCAACTATGCCCTACCATTTCCCCCTAGATAGATCTTTATCCTTTATACCATGTGTATCCTTTCTATACCCTGTATTAAACACCACAAATTAGCAAGTGAAGTCCCCTTCTACTGAATTTCCTGCCTCGCTAGTTTCAAGCAAGTCAATCCAGCAATATTCCAGAATAAGAGATCTCCTATCTTCTTGCCTTTTTTGGACTGCTTGCTCCTTTTCCAAACACCACATGTACCATTTAACCTCACCGAGATTATCTTTGAGACACATCGTATATCACTGGGTAATTTCCAAAAACCAGGCACACATCAAGACTCCAGTTCACCAAAGCTCATGCATGTTTAAATAAGGTCCATGGCTCTTCCAGCCATATAAAGCTAGTCATACAAATACCTTGATGGAATTTGAATCTTGAGTTAACTAGCCTCCTAGGCTTACAGCTTTTGCCTTCCACTACACCTACAAATTTAGACCTAAGTAGACTCCTAACCATTTTTGTCTAGGCAACTCATCACTGTACTTCATCAATCTCATCTAAGATGCCACTGATTGTGAGACTCACCAGTATTTCGGGTACTACTGAGAAAAGGGGGGAAACGGACAATTCAGCTATGATTTGGCATCAATTTAGGATCCATGCCAATTTCAGGGATATTAAATTGTGAAAAATAAGTGCATCTGTGAAGAGACGGAAAACGGTAGTTGATTTCAAGGGCTGTTGCCTCTTCTCACCCCCTCTCCAAGTGCCTGGTGACAGATTTTTAAGGTGGAATTGAAATAAATGGGACCCTTCTTTCTGGAAACCAACGGTCTTTTGGCTTAACTGCCTGCTGAATCCAGCATTTCGGCTAAAGTTTCTCAAGGTTAAAATTTCCAGTATTTCACCAGAAACCTCACTGCTACCTCAAACAGGTGATCTCACGAGTGTGAATATTTGATAGGAAAAGAACAAGGTGGGCTAGAGAAAAGACAAAATCCAGGTTGTCAACCACTGTTTTCAACATTCTAATGTGTGTCTTTTTCAATTTAAAAACTTCGAGTCTAAAAAAAAAAAAAAGACCTTAAAACAAGCTTGAGAAAACTTGTCACAAGGCAAATTTTATTTTTTCAAGTTACAAAAATATCATGTCAAAAATACAGTCTTAGTCCATACAAGAGTAGTTCCAGCCATTTGTTCTACAGAGTTTGGAAAAAGCAATATATATAGAAGTCTTATAACATACAATATAACCGCTCAATTCAGTTATTGCTAGTTATGTGCAGCTTTTACTTGAGACCGTTCTCTACAAGGGAAAGGGCAGTGTTCGGGTACTGCCTGTTGCTCAAGGTGTAGGATTAGACGGCCAATCCAAAGTTGGAATGAGCTAGCTTTGAGTAGACTAGAACGTGTAAGTTTTGATCAGTACTACAAGAGAGTGTGGGCTGCATTTTGGTTCCACCCCATTCTCCCATATTTAATTCTATTCTGTTAACACATCAGAAGTAAAATGTGTAGTTTGGGGCAAGAGTAAACGAATTGCTGGTTTTCAAAAATAAGTGACGAGAAACCATAACTTTGAGTTGCGATGGAGAAACGAAGCTGGCACATTTATCTTAAAAACACTGAAACAATAAACACAAGAATGGAGGAAAATTTAAAGTTTAACAACCAAAGCTAGCTTTTTCTCTACAGATTTTGAGATGGAACAGGAATCAACTTGTTCCTTTGAAGCCTAGGAGCTTATGAAAATCTGCTGTCCTTGATTTTCTCTTTAAAAAGACCAAGAGCTAGCCACATGACAGGAACATGCTTTAAAACAGTTCTATTTGCTCAAGAGAAGAACGAATCATCAAATTAAATAATTTTAAGTTCAAATAAGAAAGAAAAGAAAGAAAGAAAATGCAGTTGACAGTGTAAAACACAGAGACCAAATCACTTAACTTTGGGGGATGGGTAACACATAGGAGACTTTTGGCCTGAAGTTCACATGGAAGACTTAGAAGCTAAGAGTGTCCCAAAGAGAAAGCAATGGCTTTGTTTCCCACTTTCCTGTCAGAGCCTGCAGGGTCAGCATTATTACTACCATCTTACCCCCAGAAGTTTTTGAATAAATTTGAGACATAGATTGGTGCAAAGTATGAGGTGCATGGGAAGAACCTTTCAAAAGCGTTCTGTGAACAAAAGTGACACTCAGGACCATTTGGCAAGGATAATTTATGACTTAAATCCTAAAAATAGGCTACATTTTTAGGAGGTAGAAAACAAGTACCAAAAATTTACCATTCGGCCACTCTCCTTAACTTTTGGCCAACCTTGGATCCCCTCCATTTCTCACTCCCCATTCTCCCATTAAAGCTATTACTGCTACTACCATTCGTTACCTAAAGTTATAAACTTGGAGCTGCCAAGAAAAATCTTAAGTAGTTTTGCTTTTAAACCACTGAGTATATCTAATACTCAAGTATCAACTCGGAACGTTTTAGTAGATTAATTCACTCCGTAAGAAAACATGCCTACATAAAACAATTACTTAATACGAAAAAAGACTACTGAACATCTCTACATGCTAATGTGTCAGAGCGGCTATGCAAACCTAAATGAGTAATGTTTTCACTGAACTGATTTGGATAAGCCTTATATTAAAACTTCATTACCAGCATTTACTGAAAAAAGGGATGTGTCTTACTAAAACATTAAGCTACAACAACAAAAAAACTCCACTTCCTCCCAGAGAGTTATGTTGTGCTGATATCCCATAGATAGTATTAGAAAAGGATTTCATTTTTGCAATAGGCTGGGCTCACAGTGCATGTTAATACAGAGACCATGTGTACAATATTACCACAAGAATGTCATTAGTGAAATGTATATAAGGCATGTAAAAAACTAGCATTAAAGCTCGTAAGGGCAACGATCCAAACGGGCAGCTGCTAGAAAAGGTGCTGCTAGGAATAAAAAAGTATTAAAGAAAACAGAGTTTCAGCACATATCAGTTTATAGTGCTTCCACAATAAAATGAACTACTTCACATAAATTTATGTTGCTGGAACTAATGGACCAAACAAAAATGGACTTCTGCCCCCTTTTAACTACTAGCCCAATCTTGGAAACGGAAGCAATCACTTGCGATCTTCCACACGGTGTTGTTAGGAGTTGACTGGGCAGTCAGCAGGAAGTTCTGGTTGAAGTAGTGTTGTTTGTTTCCATCAAACTTCACAGTTCCACTGGTCACAACAAGAACTGTGGTCTGGGCCTGAGTAGCTTGCTCTTTACCCACATAAAAAAAGAGAAGAGGTCACAGTTTCTATCTCTAAAGAAGATTTTCAGGCTTAAACGACATTGCTTCTAACTTAGCACATAAAAAAAAAGCTTCATAAACTTTCTTTACCTTGAGCATGCGTACCCAAAGGCAGAAAACTGAATTATCGTTTCAAAGCATATTAAAATTATCTTCAGTCCAGAAGGAGTTCGGGGACTCCAAAGTTTCAAAATGAAGAGCTTATATCTAGCACACGACATTTGGTTTCCGTATATATTCATATTTCATTGGGCTTCTAAAAGAGCTTTTTCTTACTTTGCCTTAAGTTATTGTTCTTTTCAAGAACTATGAAAGGGGGGGAGAAAAATCACCCAAAACTACTACTTATGACGCTTAGGACCCCACCTAGAGGTCAATCTTACATATCACACCGATCTACCTTGAATCAAATTCTGTCTTGCCAAATCATTTTTTCCCCATAATAGAATAAATTTCTTCTGTGAAATTTCAGGAGGTTGTAAGATAGTAACATTAACCAGAAACTGTTATAATTTTTCTCTGGAAACATTTCAAGGCACAAAAGGCAGCTGTTTATTCAGGGACAATAGATAATTAGTCCTCTCCCATCAACCAAAAGCACATTGAACCTCAATTTCTCACTCATTTTTAATAAACCATAATCATACTATCCAACAAAACCTACTAGTGGTCCTCTGGAATTGGATGCATCTAAAAGAAGACCAAAACTTTGATCTGACTGAATTTTTCATTTTTAACTTGTTCAAAAAAGTAATTATTTCTATCGCTACAAGTTGCTTGTTGCTTTTGGCGGTCAAGCTCAGTGCTCACTAAAGGAAAACAAAAGAAGTTGAAAGAACATGATCTTACCATGCACTGGTTGGCAATCTAACATATTGACTTGGAACTCACTAGAAGGCAACATCTCAAAAAAATTAGTTAGGGCTTCCAGCCCTGTAACAACATTTCCGTTCCATATTAAAGTGGCCTTGTCCAGATACAGCCTGGTTAGTGCCTTAAGGAGAAAAAAAAGAAAAGAAAGGTAAAGATTTTTGTTTCTGGGGAAGCATTTTATAGAAATGGATCGAAGGATTACAGGTGGCATATAAACACTTCCATAGTTCCACCTCCATCTCCACTCTCCTTGCCCCCTCCCGCTGGAAGATAATGTGAGCAAGGAAGGTGTCTGCCTCATAATCTTGGCTTTAACAGAGATGATTTCACTTCAGCCACGAAAACACTTTGCATCCAAACTGGAAGAGGGTTTTGAAGTTTTGCTTTCTGTTTGTTAAAATGAATTAAATGATTATGAGTTTCATGCACATGCAGCCCCAAACCAGGTTTAGTCTCCCTCCAGTTTTTAATTCTGAGAATTAAAGTTGTCAACCGGGTCCTACCTGGACACTCCAACTCTAGTGCTTACGTACACATGAATCATCGAATGTTTGAACCATTTAATGTCGTATGTGTTAGGAAGAATTTCTTTTACTACTACTCAAACACAGTATTTTGTTCCAAAGAATCACAAGTACTTGCTAGCGCAGAGTCTTTGCTAAGTCATGTACAAGTTAAGGCCCCACATAAGGCAGAATTCAACAGTTAACCCCTTAGGCACAGGAGTTAGTCACAGGAGGTTAGCATGTTACAGGACAGATTATTTGCTTAATCCTAAAGTTTCACTTGGATGACAAGACCAGCCCCTTATCTTGACTCTGATAATAAAACTATGTTGCCTTTTTTTCTTTGCTACTTTATTTTTGAAAGCAGCAAGACACAATAAACATCCACTGTCAGGTCCCTTGTCAAACATCAGTACCAGAAACTTCTTTTATAGAAATTTTGTGAGATTAACTTCTGTACCTACGGCATAAAGAAAGCTCTCTAAAGCAGTCCTATGCCGATAAGAGACGTAGGCAAGACTCCAGCACATACTGAAACAATTACTTAGAAGACATGACTCAGGGATAAATCACAACAAAAAAGCTGATGACAAGAGAACTTGCTCTGTTGAAAACTAAAAGTATCCAAGCCATGTGGATCCTATTTGTGAGTGCCAACTACAGCTGTGAGCTTTAATCAGAAATTACTAATATAGGAAATTAAAAGAGCAAATCAAGGAACGTTCCCTATAATGTCAGACTCCTTCCCTAGCACTAATGCTTTTTTAAGCATACTGGCTGAATGATGGGATTAAAAAGGGTAACATAGGGGCACCTGAGTGGCTCAGTTGGTTAGGCGACTGCCTTCGGCTCGGGTCATGATCTCAGGGTCCTGGGATCGAGCCCCGCGTCGGGCTCCCTGCTCCGCGGGAAGCCTGCTTCTCCCTCTGACCCTCCCCCTGCTTGTGTTCCCTCTCTCGCTGTCTCTCTCTCTGTCCAATAAATAAATAAAATCTTAAAAAAAAATAAGCTCTTCTCTGGGCTGATCTTTCTCCCCTTTAAAAAAAAATAAATAAAAATAAAAAGGGTAACATATTTAAGTAAACATATGTCAAGCCCCATGTCAAAGTGCAGTAAGTTACTTGCCATTTACCACCCTAAAAATAAAATGAGGTTAAGAGAGGTTAGCAGTTTGCCCAAGGTCACAGAGCTAGGTAAATGCAAAGCTGAGATAGGATCCCAGAGCCCACACTTCCATAATATCATACCCATCCTTCTCTAAACAATGCACTTTTTAAAGAACAAGTCCACAGTGATCACTTATGCAAGTCGGATGAATGGCTGGCTAAGAAAAAAACAAAACAAAACAAAACAAACAAAAAAAAACCCCTGGTACTTAACAAAGAGTAGTAGAGTCTATAACACTCACCCGTCTTCTTTTGTCCATTGTCTCATAGTAAATATTGACAAATTCCTCAGCAGCTCTACATGCCTGATCTACATGAGTCTTAAAATCCTAGGAGAAAAAATTCAGACCTGTACATTACCACCCCTCCAACTCCTAACAAACACAAACCCACCAACAAACACTGAGTATTTATTTCAATCACTTTGTAGCTCCATACACAGTCCATATTCTTCTATATAAATTTAGACATTATAAAGCTCAGGGCTCAAGAGTTTCCAGTTTTTACATTTTCCCCCATTTTAAAGTACGTTTATTTAGGACATACTCGTCCCTCATTAGTGAATTTTTTCTCATTTCAAATGGGAATTGATAATCTTTGCTTGGTAACTGGTGCTGTAAGTACTGTAGGCTTCCAGTATTTTACAAAACATTCACCTTAATAAAAATGATGTGGTCTGAACCTTTAAAAGGGCGGGGGGTGGAGCGCTGAATCAGAAGTTATGACAAGGAGTTGCTCCGTGGGGAAAAAATAAGAGTACGAAATAAAGGCCAATGAAATACTTGAAAAACTACATACTTAGGAAACTTGCTCACATTACGTAAAAAATTCACCGGCGTTTGCAAAGAATTGCAGAACCGAAGACGAGAAATGCTGCTGGGGTTTTCTCCTGCCGAATGATTAGTAAGTACCTATTCCCCGGCCATTCACTGAGCCCAGCCTATTATTTGAATTAAGAATCCGTTTCATTTCTCTGTCAGGTGACCGAAAGTTATTTGTAGAGGGAAATAAGGGAGAACAAAATAAAAGATCGCAAGCCATAAACAGACGCCAACATTCCCGCCTCTCGCCAGTTCCCATCTCGGGGGTCCTTTCCAGCATCCGAAAGCGACTGCACAGACGCCCGGAGTTGGGGTGGCGGTGGGGGGATAGGTGGGCTACAGACCAAGAGGGGCTACAGAGAGCGAGTCCCGCCCCCGGAGCCCAGCGGGCCCGGCCCTGATTCGCCACTGGACCACGTGACCACCAGCCAGCCCGCCCCAGCGCCCCTCCCCTCAGCTGCCCGAGCCGCGGCGCCCCGGCACCCTGCCGCGGCCCCGGCACTCACCACAGACGTGGCCATGAGCGAGCCCGAAGCAGCCTGTCCTGGCAGTGGCGGCGTCACTACCTCCTCACGTGTCGGGCGCCTTCGGCTGCTGCAGGACCAAATATTTAGGAAGACACCTAAACCCGCCAAACGCCGAATTCTCTACCCGCCCATTCTCTCCCGGAAGTAGCTCGGTCCGTTGTTAAAAGCACCCCGATGTTCCAACCTTAAGTACACCTCCCTTCAGTTCCGACCGTACCCTTCCAACTGCCTCCTGTATTCATTTGTTAGCTATTTATCTACTTCGTTGGGAAGAAATAAATCCTCGGCTTTCATAAACTAGATACTGTAACCGAAAGTATCCATTTTCCCAGGGACACGGGACAAGCAAAGATCATCTAAACGGCCCAATAGGGGGGCTTCTTTGCTCCAGGAGGCGGGGCCAGGGCTAGCCGAAGACCAATGAGAAACGCGAGGAAAGACCTACTAGATCTGTAGCCTATAGGAAAAAGAGGTGGGTTTTGGCGAAGTATGCAACCACACTGCGCATGACTGGGGGAGAACGGTTTAAAGTTCTGGAATATTCTGGAAGAATCTAGCCTCACTGAATTGAATCCCAACGGTCTCAGTAGCATTCCTAAAATTAATCACAAATCACAGATTTGGTTATCTGCTATTCATAAGTAAAGGCTTATCAAGTTCATTCTAGCACGCACATGCGGTTTTTGTCTCAGACTTCAAATGAAGATTAGTAGACACTGCCATTCACCACCCTCTACAACCTACTCTCTAACAGCTAAAATTTTATTGCGTGGTGACCACGAGCAAAGTACTTTTTCTAAGCATTTCAATCCATATTCACTTACTTCAATAACACTATGAGGTAATCATCTCCGGTTTATAGCTAAGGCAGAATGCGATTATGTAACCTGTTCAGGGTCACAAACTAGTTAGGGTTCAAGCTCAAGCGACTTAACTACCACTACAACCTGATTTCACTCTCCAGCATCCTTTAATAACTGTTCATCTCAAAGGCACCAACAAATTCTGGGTGGTCAAATCAATTAACTATCTCTATAGTCTTACCACGAATAACTGGTTTGTGGCTCCTCATCAGAATAGTCCCTTCTTCGCTGGTATCTTCCTGAGTCTCTGCCATGAGACGAGTCTCTGCCATGAGACGAGTCTGTGCCATGAGACGAGTCTGTGCCATGAGACGAGTCTGTGCCATGAGACCAGTCTCTGCCATGAGACGAGTCTCTGCCATGAGACCAGTCTCTGCCATGAGACGAGTCTCTGCCATGAGACCAGTCTCTGCCATGAGACGAGTCTCTGCCATGAGACCAGTCTCTGCCATGAGACGAGTCTCTGCCATGAGACCAGTCTCTGCCATGAGACCAGTCTCTCCTGGACTTACTCATGCTTCAACGATATTCTCCCCCCTCCCCGAGCTCTCCGCCGTTCAGACTAGCTTCAACTGTAAACCTATCAGCTTCCTTCCTTTGCGCCCCTCTTACTGGCGTCACTTCCGGGGGCTGTCTCTTAATTAAAACATCCCTCCTCCCACGTGACTTCAACTGCTACCCATATGCTAATGAATCTTCAGAACACATTTCCAGCACCCCCCAACTCCAGTTCTGCATATGGAATTTTGCTATGTATGAACACGAGAATGCGCTACAGGCTTCTCAAACTCATAGAGTCCAAAATTTAAACTCATTATTTCCTCTGCATGTCCAATCTTCTGTATTCTTTCAGTTATCTATGCTCGAATTCTTGGAATCTTTATTTTTAGCACCCCCCCATCATCGTAATTCATTTGTTCATTCAAAAAGTAATGAGCTCTTAGTATGGGCTACCACATTATGCAAGGTTCTGGATATAGAGTGGTAAATAAAATAGACATGATTCATATCCTCATAAAGTTCACAGTGTAACGAGAGTGCTAGACAATAAACAAAATATTAATGAACTACAGAGGAATTCCAAGTAACTTGCTCGATTCTGCTCATTTTTTTAAGCAACCTTTCTCTTCCCTCCCTCCCCTCCGATTCCCCCTTCTCCCCCTCCCCTTCCTCCCTCTCCTCCCCCCCCCCCCCCCCCCCTTCTGCTCCCCTCCCCTCTCCCCCCCTCCGCTCCACTCCCTCTCCTTTCTTGCTCCACTCTCCTCCCCTCCCATCCCCCTCTGCTCCCCTCTCCTCTCTTTCTCTCCTCTATACCCAAACGTTATCACTCTTCTTATTTTTCCAAAATTTTCCTAATCTTTAAAGGTTTGGTTTTGGTCTCAATTTGCCTTTCCACACTTCTCTCCCATTATTCACCAACATTGGCAGTTAACTACTAGGGTTTGCCAAAAATGACTCATGTTTACTGCTCTATAGGTGATTGTATTTCTTAATTGAAAGTTCAGAATATGTCTCTGGTGTTTATTGTAATTTCATTCAATCCTCAGGACCCCTGGAGAGAGACACATTATTACCTAGATTTTGAAGAATTTAAACTGCAGTTCAAAGAGGTTAAGTAAGTTGGCTAAAATGACACAGCTAGTGGAGCTGGGATTTCAACCCACAGCTGGCTGGTCCCAAAGTCTTTGCTCTTAGACACTCTGCTAGCCATGCATGTGCTTCAGCTATGCCTATTTTGAAGTGTTTATTCCCTACATTTCTACCTGCCCCGAAGGCTGTGACCTGTCCTATGGCCATGATGAGTGTCTATTGGTGGGGTGCAATAGTGCTGGGGACTAGAGGAGTGTTGAGCGTACTGAAAGGGGGACAGCTGAGCTAGAGGTTAGAAGACTCCTCTGAGTTTTGCACTGAATGCACAGAATTGTGTGCACTTTTATTGTTGTGCTACAAGGGTGGGAGGCTGGGAAAACAACATTGGAAACAATGTTGTGCTCTGGTTGGTCAGAACAGTGAATTTAAACCCATGAAAACTATGTTTGGGGGGACAAATGGGAACCAGGCGAACCAGACACGGAATTGCTCTTTGCTAGATAACTGCACAGGTATAAAAAGTGGGGAGATTGAGCAGGAAAGGTGTGAAAGGGCTTTTCTTGCAGCACAGAAGGGCATCCTGGTTAAGCACATTGTCGTTGGCACCAGCACCGGGTTCAAATCCTGGCCATGCCGCTGAGTAGCTCTGTGACCTTGGCCAAATTACCTAACCATTCCATGCCTCGGTCTCCCAATTTGTAAAATAGAAATAATAATACTAATGCATGTTTTGTAACATTGTTGTAATGGGCATGCAGTCCCCGCTTGAGGAATGTTATTTTCCCCTACCCGTGGCAGAGATTATGCAGCCAGCTATTTGATAGTATGAAGCGGAGACATATTAGGTTGCTTTGGTGTATTGAGAGGCATCAGTATCGTTCAGGAGAGGCTAGGCTTGGGTGCTCTGTAGGAGCAATGATTTGGGTTGATTTGGACTGCTGGTGGCTGTGCTGTGCAGCCATTTTCCCTGGTCAAGCATAGACCTAATGGAATTAAAGCTGTTTGGAGTTACTACCATCCCTATCTGAATCTTCACCTTGCTCTGGATTTGAGATGGACTAGTCTAGAACAATCAGGGAAGTGATCCGAGCAGTCAGCCTCTTCCTCTTTGGTCTCTGATTGGCGATCAGCCTGTACACATTAAGTCGCAGCCTGTTCATATTAAGTCTCATGCCCTACCAACTAAGTTAGCTAGGCACCTTTGGCCGGTTCACATCAGATAACGCTTCTAAAAACAGTTTTATTGAGATGTAATTCATATACCCTACAATTTACCCATTTAATGTGTACAGGTCAGTGGTTTTTAGTATATTCACAGAGTCATGCAAGCATTGCCATGAAATTTTAGACCATTTTCAATGCCCTGAAAAGAACCCCTTTCCTTCCCATTAGCGGTTCCCATTCCTCTTGCCCCCTACCTCCTGGCACCACCAATATACTTCCTGCTTCTATGGATTTGCTTATTCTGGACATTTCATATGAATGGAATCATACAATATGTATCTTGACATAATGGTTTCAAAGCTCATCCATGTTGTAGCATGTATCCATACTCCCATTCCTTTAATTGCAGAGTAGTATTCTGCTGTATGGATGTACCACATTTTATTTATCCATTCAATCCATTAGTGGGCATTTAGGTGGTTTCCATTTTTTGGATATTGTAAATAATGCTTCTATAAACATTTATGTAAGTTTTTGTGCGGCTATATGTTTTCAGTTCTCTTGGGGAGATATCTAGGGGTGGAATTGCTGGGTCATATGGTAACCTATGTGTTAAAAAATAAAATTCAAGAGTAAACTTTGAAGATCTTATTGGTTTTATTCAACAGTTCATGAATTGGGCAACATCCAATCTAGCAGATAGAAAGGAGCTCTGAGTTGCTGTGCAAAATGAAAGACTTTCATAGGCAGAAGGGAGAAGGAACAAGGAAGTTCTACGAGGCAAAAAAGCAGATTGGTTATGGCAAAGTTACTTTCCTTTAAGGGATGGCAGGGGTGTATCAGTCACATCACCTAGCTAGTGCTGATCAGGTGACTCCTGATTGATTGGTTTGAGATTCCATTTCCGGGAGAGCCAAAACTATAATTAAGTTAAGTCTTGTTTGATGATATGGGGCTTAGCATAAGCAATTCCATTGGTGGGGGGCAGCTGTTGTCTTGTTTTTAGCCTGTTTAATGTTTTAGGGACCTGCCAGACTGTTTCCCACAGTGGCTGCACCATTTTACATTCCCACCAGCAATGCATCAGGATTGTAATTTCTTCACATCCTCACCAATACTTGTTATTGTCTATCTTTTTTATTATAGCCATCCGAGGGGGTGTGAAGTGATATCTCAGTGTGGTTTTGATTTGTATCTCCCTGATGCCTCATGATCTCGAACATCTTTTCATGAGCTTATTGACCATTTGTTTATCTTCCTTGGAGAAATGTCTCTTCAAATCCTTCACATATTTAAAAATTCAGCTTGTCTTTTCATGATTGTGTTTTAATTATTCTTTACATTTTCCAGATACAAGTCCCCGATCAGATTTATGATTTGCAAATATTTTGTCTCATTCTGGGGGTTGTCTTTTCACTACCATAGAGCTGTGGAGGGGGCTATAGGAACAGATGAGTAGGTGAGTAGGTGAGTAGGTCCAGTTACATCACCAGAAACGCTGATGTCCTTATGGGTGTTCAGTAGTCTTTCTTGAATACATGCTCCTCAGATTTTTGCAAGTGTTTGCTTAATTTCTAGGAGTTCCAGACAAGTTAATTTTGACAATGTTTGTTGGTGTTTTCATTGTTTTTATGGAGGTGTGAATATACAGAGGTCCTCACTCTGTCATTTCATAAGCTCCGCCTAGATAGCACTTTGGTATATCTTTTGAAAGACACTGTTACTGGATGCCTTTTATTATTGATATATTTGCCGGGTTTTGAGGGACTAACTTTATGTGCTTTTCATATATCGAACATTTACTTCAGACCACTGGCACGGAGTAAAAACTTAGGCAAAATAGGTGGTTAAAAGAGAATGACCAAATGAGATTTTCTTCTCCCTTTAGCTTGCTTTTATCCCTATTCTGAATCCATTCTGAAGGGAGTGAAGGTGTGAGCTAATTTCTTTTTCTTTAAGATTATATTTATTTATTTATTTATTTGAGAGAGAGAGAGAGAGAGCATATGCAAGCAGGTGGAGGGGGGGGGGGGGGGGTAGAGGGACAAGCAGGCTCCACACTGAGCCTGAAGCCTGATGTGGGGCTTGATCCACTGAACCCTGAGATTATGACCCTACTGAAACCAAGAGTTGGAGGCTTAACCAACTGAGCCACCCAGGTGCCCCCCACTTTTCAAAACTTTTTATTTTAAAATTTTTATTATTTTTTTATGAACTTGTTTCTTATAAAGGGAACTTTTTCTTCCTGTCAGGAAAGAAGTGAGAGAATAATCCATTTTCACCTCATTATTTTTCAATTGCTTTCTCTATGGGGTATTCACAAGTCTTATCTTCAGGGGAGAACAATTCTTTCATCTCTCTGCTAGAAACGTCTTTTTCTTTAAGTAATTATTTCTAGAAGCAAAATGTACAATAAGGTTTTTGTCTTGGTTGAGCTCTCAGGTTTGAGGAAATTCCACCAAGACCCTGGCTCACCCACTCTGCAAATTTCTTAAACAAATGTGAATTATCATTGTCAAGACATCATAACGTAAGGTTCAG